CACCGTCTCTGCTGCTTGAGTCATGAATCAGGTCAGTTCCCTTTTACTTAGCCTCACCCCTCATTGTAGGTGGGGGAAGCGGCTTGCTACAGTTTTAGCTATTTTTTAAACAGCTAATAGGCCTTTTTCTAAGGTTGTGTGAGTCCATTATTGAATCATTCAGCATTTTAATAAAAAATACCAGTTAGACTGAATGTCATGAAGATATTGAAGAAACCAATTTCATGTGGAAAAATCTTTGGTTATGTAGGTTTTAAACTATTACATATAACTCCTCTTTTTAAAAAATTATTAAAACCTGAGGACTGAAGAGTAAGAAGCAGCATGGTATAGTCTCTGCCTGCTGGATGAGATTCCATGATTTATTCTCTGACTAAGTCAAAGATTCTACAGTTAGATTACTCCTCAGAACTCAGGCTGAGTTTGAGCAGGTCTAAGGTGTTTATTCCTTTTAGCCCTCCTAGTTAATGGGGCATAGAGTGCTCTTGACGACTACTCCATGCTTCTTCCTATCAAAGCAGAAGAAGTCAGTAAAAACCTTGAGTTTTAAAATTCATCTGAAATATAAATGGAAGAGTCTCGTGACAAAACCACGGCCAAGTGTACAGGGCAGTTGATCTAGTTGGTACACGTTAGTGGTAGATGATGTGTGTAACTGTAAGAAACCTACTCACAGCAAAGGGGACCCAATCCCCAGGAGAAGGTCTAGAGAAGAGGCGGGAAAAGAGCCTGAGGCTCTGTGTGCACATTCTGAGACCAGTCTCTCCTGGCTCTCACTCAGTGGGTGCCTGTTTGCAAGTCATTTCTTGACCTCTGTGACTCTTACCTTTTTTGTCTGATTATAAAATAGGATAATAATTCTTGCCTTTCAGAATTGTCATGAAGATTAAATAATGTTTGTAAAAACAATTAGACAGAATAGGTGCTCAGTCAACAATAACATTAGCTGCACATGATGGCTCACGCCCGTAATTCTAACACTTTGGGAGGTCAAGACCAGAGGATTGTGTGAGCCCAGGAGTTCGAGACCACCCTGAGCAAGATGGTGAGCCCTGGTCTTTGCAAAAAAAATAAAATAAAATAGCCGGCTTGGTAGTGTGCACCTGTAGCCCCAGCTTTTCTAGAGACTACAGTGGCAGGATTGCTTGAGCCCAGGAGTTTGAGGATGCAATGAGCCGTGACCACACCCCTGCTTTCGAGCAATTTTCATATTCTGTCTCATTGACTTAACAAATTACTGAAAGTCTGTCTGGCCCTGGTGGCTCATGCCTGTAATCCCAGTGCTTGTAGTCCTCCTCCCTAGGCCTTCATTGAGGCCAAGAGTTCAAGACCAGCCTGGGCAATGTAGTGAGACCCCATCTGTACCAAATATTTTTTTCTACTTAGCTAGGCATGGTGGCAAGTGCCTGTGGTCCCAGCTGCACAGCCTGAGTTGGGAAGATTGCTTCGTCTCAGAATTTCAAGGCTGCAGTGAGCCATAATCACACTACAGTTCAGCCTTGACAAGAGAGTGAGACCCTGTCTTAAAAGAAAATCTTCTGTGTGTACATACACATGTTTTTTAAAAGTCAGTCATTGTAGCGGGGAGGACAGCTATTAAACAAGCACCGTGTGAGAGTTATGTACAAATCACTGTGAGATCAGAGAAGGAATGCCAAACCCTGCAGGGAGGGTAGGGGAGCAAAGCCAGCTTCCCAGAGGAAGTCAGAGTTCTCTGTAAAAATGAGTTCATCAAGTAAGCAAGGCTGGAAAGGCGTTGCAGGGAGATGGAGCAGCTTATACAAAGACACAGAGGCATGTTCCGGGAAGGACGAGTGGTGTTGTGTGGTTAGAGTTGTGGGTGTGTTGTGTTGGGAATTGTATAAAAGAAGGTTTAAACTGCTGTTGCCACATAAAGGAACTGCTTAGATGCCTTGATCCTGTTTGTTTCAGGTGGAAATCCAGACAGATTGATTTGGCCTGTTATTTCTGAGTACTTCAGAAAGACCAAATACCCACTCCCCGTATTTTTGGCATTTCTATTCCCTACATTGTTGGAACCAGGAAGCATAACAATGAAACATTAAGAAAGGAGAAGAGGGAGGAAGCAGAGGGCGAATCTACTTGGGATTTACGAAAAGATATTACAGAAAACAGGCATCTTTGCCTAGTTTATTGGGATCTCTACTAAAGATTTATTTTTCTATTTTTAAAAAGGTATTAATCTCTCTGAGATGAAAGTTACCTTCATATGTGTCATAAAATAGCTCTGAGTAGGAACTCACTCTAATAAGAATAATTAATAAAAAGAAAAATTTTACCCAACTTGAGAAACTGTGTTCAGGGAGCAACTGTCTTGAATAAAGAAGGCATGAAAAGCCTTTGTATTCCTTTTTGTCCTGTATAACAAATTATTTTTCTTGCAAAGCCCCAAATTGCTTTCCTCTACATTGCTGCATTTCTGTGAACATGATTCCAGTCCACTGCGGCTCTTCCAAGGATACTCCTGATATCAATCTTGAAGCCTATTCAGACGAGGATGGGAGTCAGAGTTGAACTGTGCCAACACTCCTGCTGAGAATTAGCCCAGTTTCATTCTGTGTGAAGGAGCCCCCAGTTCAGTGCCCTTTGCATGTTTAGGGTACACAGAGCTGAGAGGCTCTGCAGGGAGTGCAGAGTTAAGAAACTGCGTGATAGGAACGCTATCTCTTACTCTTTCATAATGAGATCTGTGCAGGGAAGCTAAAAAAAGATGAGGCTTTTCTATCATTCCGTGCAGCTGTGGTGTTCTTGTAACAAGCTACTTCTGCTTCATAAGGCAAGAAAAACAGAATTGTGGACAGACTCTCAGAACGAGCAGGGTCTCCAGGAGTCCCGGCTGTCTGTTTTTTTTTTTTTTGAGACGGAGTTTCGCTCGTTACCCAGGCAGGAGTGCAATGGCGCGATCTCGGCTCACCGCAACCTCCACCTCCTGGGTTCAGGCAATTCTCCTGCCTCAGCCTCCTGAGTAGCTGGGATTACAGGCACGCGCCACCATGTCCAGCTCATTTTTTGTATTTTTAGTAGAGACGGGGTTTCACCATGTTGACCACGATGGTCTTGATGTCTTGACCTCGTGATCCACCCGCCTCGGCCTCCCAAAGTGCTGGGATTACAGGCATGAGCCACCGCGCCCGGCCAGTCCTTAAGTCTTAATACAGCTATAATTAGCCAGGTTGTCAGCAACCAGGCCGGAGGTGTCACACAAGTACGTTGTAAAATCTTTTTTACTTGGAAGAAAAGATGATGGTGAACTACAAATTTGATGTCTGTGCCTTTATCCTATTTAATTTATATTTATATCATTTACAGGAATTTCTCAAACTGTATGTTTCCCTGTTTTATCTTACAAATTGCCAGTTTTATCAGAATAAGACTTGGTGTCGTCAAGTACGTCTCTGTCAACCTGACTTTTAACCACTTGGAAGACCTGTGCACCCTTGCAGCCCCTTTATCTTGCCATGCACTCCCACCTTCTGGACGTATCAGGAGGGGCACATACCCCTGAGGAGCCACACTGAAACTTTTCCATTTTATAATGATGGCCAATCCTAGGCCTTTATGTGTAATTCATTCTTTTTTAGGCTTTCTAGTCCCACAGACTGACTTTGGAAATATATGGGTTATAAGAAAGTACTGAAGAACTATAATCTCTTCAGATCTAATATTAAATGAGACCCAGATTTTTTTCTTAGTGGACTGCAAAGGCACATTTATTTAACACCTAGTCAGTTTACATGGGAGTCCTTTAAGCTGTGAATTCCTTGTTGGTAAGGGACTGTGTCCAATACTGCACCTGGCACACAGTAGGAAAACTATGAATATGTGTTGAATGAGGAACATTGGCAAAAGCCAGGATTTTTTAGGAGCGTTTGGTCCTGAGGCCACTTTAGATGGAAGGGGTTCTCCCACAGCCTAGTTCTTTCTGAAGTGCAACTCGACCTTCTTCCACAGATGAAGTGGAAAGGCACTATTCATCTGAGACTTGCCTTGTGGTGTTTAGCACAAATTTGGTTTCTGGGGAAAGACTGGCAAAGCACTGATGCAGGAAAAATTATTCTTAGGTCTTCTCTGATGATCATAGACTGAGTGAAACGTCTACTTATGTATAGTTACCGTCGCCATGAAAATAATCATTTTTTGCCACTGGAAGTGTTGGCCAGTAACAACCTCTAGAATGCCCTGATGAATATTCGGGAGTAGGGCTAACAGAAACGCAATGCCAGCTGGGCCAGCAGTGTCTGCCAACCCCAAATCTTTATTCAGCATCTTACTATGTGTAAAACCCATGATTTTTTTTTGTTGCTTTTACTTATTTCTTTAATGTAAATCTGAAGGCAGAATTAAATTTTATAATGATGATTTATGAACATTATTTATGTATACAGAAGGTGTTATTCCTACTTACTTTGGCATTATCTTGGAGTGCAGGGTTAAGATTTTGGTGATATGTGGCACACATTACTACTCAGTACATGTAGAAACCAGAACAGAAGACAGACAGAACGCTGGGAGGAAGGAAGGGAAGAGGAGGGAGTAATCCCAGGCCTGGGTCCTGGCATCAGCCTGCAGATAGTCCACAGTTTCTGCTGTGAACCTGCCGGGGAGCCTGGTGACATTCATTGCCTGCTAACTTTTAAGTTTGCTCATCTCTAAAACGAGATAAAACCTACTTTGTAGGGTTTTTGAGAGGCTTAAATGACAATGCATGTAAATATCTAACATAGACTACTCAATAAATAGTGTAATTTAACGAATAATATGTTTGTGATTTTCCCTAATGGTCTTGTTGAGAAGGCACTTACCTGTTTATCTTCCTGGACTTTAAAATGAGTCCACATCCATAAATCTGGATTCCCCCCGAGTCGAGCAGGCAGTCACTGACGATGGCATCCTCAGGGAACACCCCTCCCTGGGTGCTGGCATTGAATGGGGCATTGCTGTTTCCCAAACTGCCCGTCAGTGGGAGTTCCCCCTCTTACCTGGCATCTCAGGCTCCAGTCATCATTTTTTCACCATTCCCGGAACAGAGGGCCAGATTCTCCTTCCTTTTGTGTCTGCCTGTTTTCTGCTCAGAGGGGCATGTTTGTGTGGGAACAGGGCCTTTACGGAGCCCAGGTCTTCCTGAGGCCCTTGCCTGGAAATGGAAGAGACACAAGCTGTCAAGGGTCGGGGAGGGGCAGTCTGGCAGGTTAGCCACACAGCTCACCCATCGATTTTCAGGGCCAGGTGTTAGCATTTTACAACACGTTGGTAAGTAACATTTTCAGCAAATCGAGAAACTCCAGTTCTGCATCTTTCATAGGCATCACTTCTTCCCTCCAAGGTTAGCTTTTCTCAGGATGGGGATACATTTTCAAAAATTTTTTACAAGGAGGCAGAGTCACAGCTAATTAGTAATACTGGAGACCCAGGGGAAGTTGGAGTTTCTCCAGCGTTTTTCTGAAGGAGTTAGCAGCATAGGCAGTTTGGGAGATCAAGGAAGACCTGCTTAGGAAGGTCCAGAAATCTTACCACCACCCCATTTCTCTCCATTGAACATGGAAGAAAAGGGGGGCCCTGGCTTCTCACATTTGCTTACAGTTAGCGTGTCTGCACACTCACTGTGTGGAAGGCTCCTTTCTAAGTGCCACATGTGGTAGGTAGACCACTTACTCCTCAGGACAATGGAATTCTGAACTACAGTATTTTTATTCCCATTTACAGAGGAGGAACCAAGGCTCAGAGACAATGTAGAGACAATAAGTACATTTCCTAAGCTCAAACAGTTGGTAAGTGATAGAACTGGTTAAAACAAAACAAAACTGCGGGCAGCCTGGCTCCGGAGTCTTTTCTCCTACCCACTGTCTGAGAAGTCCTTAGTCCTACTAGAGGATCTCAACAAGGGACTGCAGGAGTGGAAAGTAAATTTAGCCTTTCTCTTCCACAGCTTTTAAAATATCTAACTTGCAGGAAAATTTCAGAAACAAGTAGCATGTTTTCATCTCAACAAGACCAAATTGCCTGTACGGTGACTCTGCTCTGCATTTTCCATAAAGAGGCCTGTGCTTTCCTTCAGAGTCCCACCCTCTTGCAGGTTAGGTTGCCAGGGAGCATTCACAGAGTTGGAGCTGAGCTTGTGGGATTTTACCAGGGATCCCTGCTGAAGGGGAGAGGCCATGGGGAAGTGGAACTGACACCGCCTCTGCCAGCTATATATGGTTCCTCAGAGCCCAGTCCTGTGCTGGTCTGAAAGGGTAGGTAGGGCCTTTATACCCCTGCCACCACCAGTGGGTGGATATGGGCCACTTGGAAGGGGGCATCTCCTTGAGCAAGGGAGCTCTTTTCAGCTGAGGTGGACCCTGAAGAAACTGACAGCTTCAGGCTCTCTCCCAACAGCACTCCCCATCACTAAGGTAGAGTTCCGCCTTGAGCAGGGGCTCTAGGTGCTGCATCTTTGTTTCCATTCTGACACTTTCACTGCCAAGGTGAGTCTACTCATTGGCAATTGCTTTCTCCTAACTCAGCCTCTTGTTTACTTGGATTCAAGATAAAAGGCATTTACTAGACGGCACAAAAAGAGATTTCAACTGTCTTGTATCCTTTTACTGTAGCCCTAGGCAGAGGCGAGGGTGTAATACTGATAGTCTCTGAAGCATGTTATAAAAACCGAGCCTGGCGTTTTGGGAGATACATGAACAATTTCTTTTACACTCATGATATCTTTCAAGTGGCACCAGTTGGCTTTTTTCTGGAGCCGGAGTCCACAGCTAAAGGCCACAATGCACTGATGGAAATCTCTAGTTAACATTTTGCTTGTCGTTGCCTTTAGTGAAATCTCTCAGTGATGAGGATTCCAGATACAACTCCCTCTTCCTTACTCCTTCCATCATGAAACTAAAGCTGTCTTCCAGTTGACTCCAGCATGGACATTAAACTGCACCCTGCTAACTTAGATCTTGTCTACCCAAGTGAATGCCAACAGCCGTCCCTGCGTCTTTTCATTTTTCCTTTTACAGTTACTGCATCCTGTTGTTGCCCCATGCCGGCACTGGCCAGTGACTGTCTCAGCTACAGGGCATGTAAAACCTGTCCCCATTTCCTTTCTTTCAGGTTGGAAAGCTTATCCAAGAAGCAGCTGGAAGAAGTAATTTGAAGAGAGTAACTCTGGAACTTGGAGGGAAAAGTCCGAATATCATCTTTGCTGATGCTGACTGTAAGTCAACCACAGGTCCCATACACGAACCAGCACACACCCTTTGGCGCCCTCTTTTGTGTCTCCACTTTTGATAGGACACTAGCAAAAGATCTTTGAAGCTAAGAGCAATCAAGAAGATCTCCTCTCTCCATGCCCAGAGCTGTTATAAATAATATATATATGTATAAAAGAAGATTTCCTCTAAGGAGAAGATAGTTTAATATTGGGAAAAGAGCACTTATCAACTGATGACTGAACAATTTGTTTTCTAGACACTAATGAGCTGTTTTGATCTGTGATGTGGAATAGGGTGGGTGACACGAAGGCTTGGTCAGTGGTGTATAGTGAAAAGAGCAGTGGTCTCTGCCTAGGTTCAAGGAATCTGTAACTTTTCAGCTGTGCCTGGTGGCTGGTAGATCATTATAAATAGTCATTCACCAGCCCTGCCAGCGTTTTCCAAACCCACAGCCCCTTCTCTGGGCAGTCAATTCCAGCCCCTTTCTGCTGCTCCCATGACTTTAACTGACGATGACAGCGCACATAGGTCAGTTCAGTATGAGTAGTCCTAAAACTGAGATGGTTCCACCTTGCCGGTAGGGCCTTGCAGAGGCTTTGAGCAGTAACCTGAGAAGCCCCGTGTCTCTAGGAAGGATGCCACCTAGGTCATTCTGCAGAGGTGTGACCTTTCTGTTTTGAAAAGCTCTCCAGGTAAGGAAATCCCAAAATCTCATTCAGTGATTCTTTTTTTTTTTTTTGCTTCACATTTTACCAGGCAGAGCTGCTTTCCCAATTTTACCACCAGAGAAATCAGAATATGGAAAGCAGATCACTTGAATTTCAGCCCAGCTTGGAATTTGCAGAGTTCAGCTGTAGCTTTCTATTAGTTGTCAAGAGAATCAGAAATCTTAGGCCTGTTCCTCTTGAGGGGCAGGTACTCCATCGGCATAACATTGATTATTTTTCAGTCAGTCAGTCATTTAGCAACTAATGTACGTGGGATTAAGCTATTTTGAAGTGTAAGATATAAGAGATGAAAATGGAAGACAGAGCATATGATTTTACACAATCCTATGTCAATCTAGAGGGAATTTAGTGTCTTCAAAGAAGACCCATTGATAGTACAGTTTAATCTCCCAAATACTAAACATACAGCTACAAGGCCCTACAGATTAGGAGTTGTAAATTGGCCAGATACAGAATATAGACATGTTTACCTGTATAAACATCACAGTGTGATGCACATTAACATATTGATCTCTCTGAAAACTGGAAAGATCTGGCAACCTGGGCCTCATAATTACGCCTGACAACCATAAAATGTGGTGGCTTTCCTAGACTCTGCATTACATTGCTTTACCACGTGGCACATCCATACCTTTACCTTATATACCTAACCCGGTGGGATATTGGGGTTTGAGACTCCTGTTACAGATGAGGTTCAGTGCTTCTATTTGCAGAATAAGAAAGAAACCCAAAGAAGTGAAGTTGTTCAAGTTCACATAGCATGTCAGGGTGCACTTAGAGCTAGAACTAAGTTTCATTCCCAATCCAGTGCTATTGATGGTTACATCCTGCAGTGAACACATGAGACCTGGGCTTTGGAGCAGAGAGGGAGGTGGCTTCCTAGACAGGCCCCTCCCCAGGCACAGCAGTGAGAACACGGCTGTTTCCTCTTGTAGTGGACTATGCTGTGGAGCAGGCTCACCAGGGCGTGTTCTTCAATCAAGGCCAGTGCTGCACTGCAGGGTCTCGAATCTTCGTGGAGGAGTCCATTTACGAGGAGTTTGTGAGGAGAAGCGTGGAGCGGGCCAAGAGGCGCATAGTGGGGAGTCCCTTCGACCCCACCACTGAGCAGGGTCCCCAGGTAGAAAAACCATAATGTCTCCCTTTGTTTACTTAGTCCTTGACTGGCACAGAACTGGAACTCTAGTAGGACCCTACAAAGCATCATCTTCCTTTTCTGCTGCCTCCTTTATTCTCCACCCTGTCTTCCTGGCTGGAACTATAGCCAGAGAGGGATTGCTCGTCTCTTATGCTTCTCTTTTCCCTTTCTGAATTTTCTCTGTGTATTTTCTGGGATTACTGTTACTTTAAGGATATTCTGGCCTTTGGGACTAAGCTGGAGTCTCTCCGTTCTAAACGAAGCCCTGAGTATGAGAAGATGGGTCTTGACACTAGATACCAGTCTCAGTCGTTCTAATCACTGAACTTTCAGACGTCCCTACAGATGCCACAGTCAAGGAGGGTGGTAGACAGCTTTCTCTCCTAGAGCCATGCACCCTTTTACAAGCGGCCAAGGAGCCTCTCCAGCAGCATGAACCACCCTGTACAGACGACTTGCAGCTCATGAATGTGCAGGAGAAGAAGGGCTGGCTCACTTTCCTTTCGTTGTATCGTTATTTCTTACTCTGAATGCCTCGTGTTCTCTAGTGGGGTGGGGAGGGCCACAAAGTCTCTCCCAAGCTGCCAGACTACACTTTTCACCTCTGCAGATTCACCATAATCATCAAGGCATATTTCTGAAGCCAATTCTGGTTATAATCTGTACACAGCCAGGGTCTGAGAATGTTTAGAAGGGTTCTGTGCCAGCTCTTGTCTGGGTCTCTAGAGCATAGGATTTCCTGGTAAGGGGCAGCATCTGCTCGGTGTGGGGACTACTCACGAGGAGACTCATGTTCGGGCTGAGCAGTTCAAACTGGGTGAAGGTAGGTTTTTGTATTATTTACCATAATAACGAAATAGCTCTGTCAGTTTGGGGGGGAGACTGACTAGGAAGCTAGTCCCTCACTCTCTACGGTTAATATTTTCCTCCAGGGTTCCTCTAAAAGCGAGTAGCAATTCCTTTAAAAACAAACTGGAGTAAGCTTGGATGGGTACCACTATCTAAAGAGCATATGTGCTAATTTTGTCTCCTACCATCGATACAACTTGCTGAGTTACTCATTCCATGATAAAAGTCAATTTTTCCTCATATGAACAATAAATAATAAATTGGCCAGTGTCTCCACTTGGAAACATTTTCTAAATGTTTAGCCGGTACTTCCGATTAGGCAGTGTCATCAGAGCAGTACCTTTACTGCAGTGCTCGATATGTTAGGGTTAAC